CAAATGACTTTTTCAACACAGTTGAATCTATTGCTAAAGATTAACACTAAACATTGAAAACACTGGTCTGCTTCTTAGATATACAGTAATAAGTCATTTTCGTTTTCTTTCAAAGAATGTATACCTTTAATTTTAAATTATTCTTAGGTTTTATTGAACATGTTAGAGAATGTTGTTGTTGTTATGTGCCATGCAGTCGGTTCTGACTCATAGCGACCCTGTACATGGTTTCCGAGGCTTTAAATCTTTACGGGAGCAGAAAGCCTTATCTTTCTCCCACAGAACAGCTGGTAGTTTCGAACTGCTGACCTTGCGGTTCGCAATCCGATTCATAACCGCTACGCTACCAGAGAATGTAGACCTTCTAATCTTATAGTTATGGACTGACCCATGTGTCAATTTATCAATGTACCCAATCTGTCAATTACTAATATACTTAGAATACTTAATACTAAATAAAAGCTCTAACTGGCAAAGCTTTTCAGGGATGGGGACTATCTGGCCCACGGGCTGTATAAAGCCCAAAAAATCATTTGGTCTGGCTTTGCCAAGGCATCTACAGTTCTGGCCATCACATTGTTGACTCCAGGTATCACGTTGTTGTTGTGAAGTGTTGTCGAGTCAGTTCTGACTCATAGCAACCCTGTATAAGGTTTCTGAGGAGTGACTGGTGAGCTTGAACTGCCAACATTGTGGTTCAAACCACCATTGCAGTCCATTGTATTAACCCACAGCGCCAGGGTTAGCTCATCAAATGTTTGACCTAATATTGTTAAGTGCCATTAAGTCTGTTCTAACTCATTGCAACCTTGTATAGGGTTTCCAAGGAGCAGTTGGTGGATTTGAACCACCAACCTTGCAGTTCAAACAAACCTTGTGGCCCAGTGGTTTAAGTTAATAATTTTATTTGTCCCATGAATGATGATCTAAATTTTGGCACAAAAAAGGTTCCCTACCCCTGGCTTAAAATATCTTCTTTGGAAAGAGTCTTATGAAGACTCTTCATAAGAGTTATTAGGGATTTTATTAGCTTATTTTGGTTGCGGTTTCCAGTTTCTTAAAATGTTTAGGCAATCTTTTATACCTTCTTAAAGTTCTAATTCTAATAGATTGATTAGTGTTGAACCAGTGCTTTCTCATGTCTCAATTCTTTGTATATGCATTCTTTTCAAATGTACTAAAGGGGAAAAAATCCTTTAAACAAATAAAATATGTTCCATGAATTACAATTTCTGGTCCCAGCTTTGTTTCTGAATCACTCTGTTATTCTGGGAAGAAACTTTACTTTCTTGGTTTCTTCAGTTCTAAGATAACTAATTGATTTCCAGTATCTTTGCTAGCTTCACAATTCTGTTGTAAAATAAGTATCCATTGTACTTTATATTTGATTTTTTTAAAAAAATCAAAAGTACTTGACCATCTTTACAGTACCCCTAAGAAATATATGGAGTCCTGCTGTGATGCTATAGGTTGGCAGTTCAAACCCCAGGTGCTTCTTGCAAACCATGTATACAGGATCACTAGGAGTCAGAACTGATTTAACAGCACTTAACAACAAGGAGCTCTGGTAGCGTAGTAGTTATGAATTGGGCTGCAAACTGCAAGGTCAGCAGTTCGAAACTACCAGCTGTTCGCGGGAGAAAGATGAGGCTTTTTGCTCCCGTAAAGATTTACAGCCTCGGAAACCCTGTACAGGGTCACTATGAGTTTGAACCGACTCCACTGCACATAACCACCACCACCAACAACAACAACAAGAATTTATATGGTTGGATTTTATGTAGGTGGTGTTTTATTAGTTAAAAAATTTATTGAATAGTACTCAGTGACAGTTGTCACCTATTTTTCTCTAATTTTTTTACACATAAAAGTATTTTAGATGCTATTTTTTAAAAATTAATCACAATTAAGATAGTGTCTCTCTGGGTCAGAACCAACTCAACAGCACTAACAACAACAAGATAGTGTCAGTTAACCCTTAAAGTCCTTTTCTTACATACTACACCTAACAGCATACTTTCCAAGTTAGACTCATTATAATCAATGTAACAGCAGGTAGCAAACATTAGCTCTTCCTCACTGGATGTTACTGTATGTGTACCCTAGGGCAGTTTCAGGAGGATAATGAAGTAATACTGATGGTGCTTTTCAGTGCTCTATAAAGTAGTAACTTGCCCTACTAAAGATTATTCAAGAGAGTGGTGTTTATGTGCATCAGATTCCCTTATGTGCAGTTAGTGTGTTTCATTAATTCTAAGAGTTAAGCTCTTCATGATAAAACTTTAAATGTTCTTCAATTCTGTGGTAGTTTCTACCTAAAGATTGCAAGATGTTTTACCAACACATAATTTACCAGGCTTCAATTCACATCTTGTCTTCTAGTTAAATTTATCTACACTTTATATCCACATATGAAAGCCCCAACCTTTTTTTATGTAATGTATTCTAAGGTGTAGCATTCTGTTTTTAAGTTATAAATATGCAGTGTGACCACATCCCCAGACTTTCCTCCTTTGTTTTAGGTTTTATGACCCACGCTTTCTAAGTTCTGTCGTTCTGCTGTTAACATTCTTGATCATTTATCCTAAGATTCCTGATTGCAGCCCACTACTGCTTTGAGCACACATCGCATTTCAGTTTGTAGCCATCCAATTCCAATTAGTCCATCATCACTTATGTCTTAGCTACTATTGTGGTTATTTCTACTTGTTCAAAACCAGAAAGGAACCAGGAATCTCACCTGGATTCTGAAATAGGCAATGAGTTATATGGTCTTGAGAACATATTCTTTATAAAATACGTCTGGGGCTAAACCTGCTGAAGATGACCCCTAAGTAAATTTTGAAAACATAAAAGTATAGGAGCTCTCTGGATTCTTTGGCTTGCTCTTTCTCCCCCTGCTAAGAAAGCAGGTAACTCAATAATTAGTTTTGAAAAATAAGGAAACCAACATTTGAGAAATTCTTTTAAGAGTCAGGCAATTTTGCCATTTATTAATTGTGCCTTCAACCGTGCAAGGTTCAAACCCACCAACCACCTCCCCAGAAACCTTAGATATACATCCCTTAACAACTATCTTTTTTATAGTAATGTTGAGAGTAATCAGGCTGAAGTGATTAAGAGTCGGAACCCATTCGACAGCACATAACAACAGCAATGTAATTTATAGCAGTAAAACTTTTTTAAGAAAAAAACTACTGACTTCCTTTTTAAAATCATACCCAGAATTTGCAATGATTGCCAGTAGATTAAAAATTACCAGTAAATACTTGTCCAGGTATAATGGTTGCCTCAGTTGAAATCCTAGTGATCAGTTTTTCCATTATTAAGGGATGCAGATCACTTGTTATAGAAGATGAAAAGAAATACATATATGAAAATGAAAAAATTACAAGTTTTTGAATACTTGTCAGATTTTCTAAATTGTTCTTAGAGTGAATGAAAGCAGTTGTACCAGAGTCATTTAGGGCCTTTAAAAACAGTTCTCTCCCACTCAGTGTTTGCTGCAATAATCAGGGAAGGAAGAGGGAAAGTTGCCAAGAATCTCTGTTTTTAACACATTTAGCCAATGTTTATTTACTTATAGAATGTTTGGGAAGCACTAAATAGATTCATCACAAGGATCTGTATTTTGTAGCCTCCATCCTCCAAATACGCTCCTGAATGTGGATCTTAGAAAAATGAAATGGACTTATCTCTGAATCATATTTGTGTGATGAAACTAATTTGGGCTTATGGGCTACATTCAGCAGTAGGAGTACCAAAGGTCCCTTTCAGTACTAAGATGCTAAGGTGGTATGATTATTTTCTCCTATTTGTTCCATACTTACAGATCTTAACCAATAAAACTTCCACAAAGATCGTATGTTTTATTTTCACCAAAGAAACCAGTTTCTGTCAATTAGCAAATAGATTTGTTGGGCACCTACTGTGTTGTAAATCATTGTGCCAGTTGCTAAAATGGATGCAAAGAAATGTAAGACAGTCTCTACTCTTAAGGCATGTACTGTCTAATTGGGATATAAGATGTTCATGTATGAAAGATTTTTACTAAGGGAATAATATGCATCATTCAGATTGTGTCTGTATGAAAAAGTAACCTTAAATATTTAGGACTTAATTTTAATATTAGATCTGTCATACTCTGAAAATAAGTCAAGCACAATTCAGTTAACTGGCAAAATGGAACACAAAAGAAGGAATAGATGTGTAACAGCAAGACCTAAGGGAGGCAAACCCAGCTATAGACTTCTGGAATTTTCATTCTGACAGGTAGCAAGCATATTGTTAAGCTATAGACTCTGGAATTTTCATTCTGACAGGTAGCAAGCATATTGTTAAGTGCCATTGAGTTGGTTCCTACTCATAGTAACCTGTATAGTTTCTAAAGATCAGCTGGTGAGTTTGAACTCACCAACCATGGGGTTTGCAATCTAGTGCTTATCCTATAGCGCCATACCAGGACTCAAAACAGGCAGCACAGTGACCTGAAAAATGGCAACATCAGGTCATCATCCAGGTAAGCACATGACATCAGACCAGCAAAGATAAATCTTGCAGGGAAGATATTTAGGTTGAATGTAGGCAGGGCCTGAGTAGATGAGACTAATGGAGGATAGGAGTAGCATGGAAGAGAGCTTATAGACGTGTACATAATAATTAACTTGTGCTGCTTATTTGAGTTGAATGATGCTAGTTATTTCAAGCAATCTTTTTTTACTCCAACTCTTTTCCCAAAATTGTTTAGGAACAATGAAGTATAAAATCTTTTAATAGTATCAAAAACTCAGGGAAGGTTACCAAAGATCCTCTTGTTTATCTTACTGGTATTAATAGTGATATTTGGAGTGCAATGAGATACAATACATTTTATTTCAAATTTTAAAGCTGAATGTCTTTATACATCCCTTAACAACTATCTTTTTTATAGTAATGTTGAGAGTAATCAGGCTGAAGTGAAAAGCAGTGGACTGTTTTTGAAAATGGTGTTTGCATTTCAGAGATTGAAAGCTGCTTTGACCCAGCAACATCCTCCAGTTACCAATGGAGATACTGTCAAGGGTCATGGTAGCGGGTTGGTTAGGACTCAATCAGAGGAATCCCGACCACAATCATTGCAGCAACCAGCCACATCTACTACAGAAACTCCGGTATGTATGTAGTTTTTATCACTTAGCATTCTGTTGCCATCATTAAAAAAGACAAAAATATAACTTAATGGTTACTTTATATACATTGGGGGGAAAAAATACTTTATTCCAAAACCGTATCAAAAGCCTTTTAAAATTTTGTTATTGTTCATGTCCATCAATTTGATTCAAACTGATTGTCACACCAGGTGTGCAGAATAGAACTGTCCCGTTGTTGTTATTGTTAACTCGGTTCCCCATAGGGTTTTTAATACCATGTCCCTTTTGGAAGCAGATCTTCATGCTTGTACTCTGTGGTACCTGTGAGTAGGTATGAACTACCAGCTGTTCGGCTAGCACTCAACTGATTGTGCCATTCAGAGACTTCAGTTGTTAAGTGCTGCTGAGAGTTCTGACTCAGAGCGACCCTGTCTAGGGTTTTTGAGAAGTGGCTGGTGTATTTGCACTGCCGACCTTGCAGTTAAAACCAACCTTGCAGTCCAGTGCTATCCTATAGTGCCACACCAGTACTCCAGAAGACTCCAGCAGTTCAGTGTAAAAGCACTGATACAAAAATAAATAAATAAATAAAAATAGTTGAGCAACTGTTAACTGTTAAGGTCACCCTATAATTGTGTCTATGTTACCTTGATATGTTGGTCACACATGGCACAGTACCCATCAGTACTCTGTACACAATTTTTCAAGAACAGTGAAACTGAATGCTGCTTAAAGAAACTTATTTCATTCTCCATTATATTATTGAGGCTTTTTATAGAGTTGCCTCTTTGGAAAGTTAGTGCCATAACTTAAAAAATAAGGTTAGAATCTTATATGAGAGAAGAAATTTTCTTTGAATGTTCTTGCTTATTTTCAAATACTACTAACTTGTCATAAGAACCAAACAATAAATCAATATTAGTAGATTTTTTGAAAGAGTTTTATTTGAAATGTTCTGCTATACAAACTGAAATTTTAAGTTGTGGAAAAATTTAATGGACTGAAATTCTGAATATATTGTATACTAACTTTTCAGTGTTACTGAGGCATGACCAGTTCTTCAGAAAAGAAGATAACTAGGGCTTATGTTGCTTTTCAAGTACCAAGACTAAGATTTTTTTTTTTTTTTTATCTCTTAATATCTTTTTAATGTATTTGTTGAATTGCCTGTTTCCTAAAATCTCATATACCTGTGATTACTAAATATTTTCTGTTCTACTATGGTGATGTCCCTTGGAGCTATTAGAGTGAATAGGAATTAGCAACTGTTCTAAGTGAGCCAAAGAGGCAGACATTTTTTTCTTTAGTAATTCTTTTACTGCTTTAAATAATTTATCTCCTTACTTATTGTCGAGCATTACTCCTTTTTAATACAATTTCTTTTTTTCTTTTTTTAAAATCTGGCTCCTTATATTACCTATACCCTACTTCTAGGAAATCAGCATTCTTTTAGGGAAATAGGTACAGATTTATAGGTATATACACATACTTCCATACATATGTGTATCTACGAAGGGCCTTCAAAAAGTTCATGGTAGAGTTGGTTGGTCCAAAGTGTGGTGGGAACTCCTGAGCCCATGGACAAGGACGTAGCCACGGAGGCCTAGAGCTGAGAGTGAAGCATCCAGCTGATAGTAAGTGAGAGGAGATACACAAGAACACCCAGACTTGTAGATCCCATTCGACCTATCTTAGATGGCTTGACGATCAGAACTCGACTAGAGGAAGATTTCAAAAAAAAAAATTTTATAAACGAAATACATGTGAATGGCTACAATTTGATGAACTTGGCCTATACTTAGGGATGTAATAGCTCAAAAGACCAACCAAGAGGGAAAGAGTCTTCACATCAAGTAGTAATCCTATCCGCTCTGTATACAGGGTTGATAGGGATGGGCAACTTAGACATTGGCTACCTAAAATGGGGGAGGGGGGTGTAATAAAGGCATGAAGTGACTGTCTTACATGTTTTCAAGAGGGAGTTTAGTTTTATAGTGTGCAGGGGAAAGTAGAACCCTCACTGAATAGTTTTCATCTTGTCTAGATGGGTCTGGTGAACAGAGATGGGGATAAAATTCTTACGCTTCAGTTGTTGTTGTTATGCCATTGAGTCAATTGTGACCCATAGCGACCCTGTATAGAGTTTCCAAGGAGCAGCTGGTGAGCTTGAACCACCAACCTTGCAGTTAAAATGACTTTGCAGTCTGATGCATTAGCCCACAGCGCCACACCAGGACTCCTAAGCTTCAGTAGTGAGTAATTATTATAATGGCTAATTGAGACTGTCACAACTGTAAAGGTAGAAGTTTTGTATCAAAAAGGGGGCTGTAGTTAATCTTACAGTCTAAAAACAGAGGACCCTAGGACCAGCAAGGGAGAAGATCATGAGCAGAATGTGGGACCCTATCCAGAGAAGCAGCGACACCAGAGAAGGAGGCAGAGAGGAGGACATGAAGAAATGGAGCAGCTGAGGATTCTTGACTCATGGAAAAAGAAAGGCTGTGTGCTGGCGACCTGGTGTTGGTGGCCAGGAGGCAGGCTTGAAGAATGTGCCCTTTGGTTTTTTAGATGATTATATATTCCAGCATGTTTTTGTGTACACCACCCTCCCCTTAAAAAAAAAAAACCAACAGAAATACTAGAAACAGAAATACTGTTGAATGATGATGCATGGAGGAGATTGTAATCATTGCAATGAAATGATGGGTGTAAAACCAATGTTCTCCCATATATGTTGTTGTTATGTGCCGTGGAGGCGGTTCCAACTCCAAGCAACCCTGTACAAGGTTTCTAAGGCTGTAAATCTTTACGGGAGCAGAAAGCCTCATCTTTCTCTGGCAGAACAGCTAGTAGTTTCGAACTGCTGACCGTGAGATTAGCAGCTGGATTTGTAACCACTACACCTGATTTGTAACCACTGCACTACCAGAGCTCCTTTCTCCCATGTATCCTCTCACCTAATTCACAATAAAAACTTTTTGTGGAAAAAAAAATTCATGGAAAAATGGAATTAAAACCAATAGAAAATTTCCACAAACTTTTTGAAGCCCCCTTGTTGTATGATAAGTCAAACAATTCTTGAATTAAAACTTATGAAAACAGCAGATAAACTTGAAATTGTTTATACTGTTGTTGCTGTTAAATATCTTCGAGTCAATTCTGACTCATAGTGACC